TGCGTATCTCTCTGGGCAAGAGTCTCTCGTTAACATTCGGGAATAACTCTAATCGGATGCGCGTAAATTGACCGTGGAGTAATCACCCCTTTACCCTCTGGTACTGTGGGCTTCATGATCCTCGTATTTGTGTATTGCGTATCTCTCTGGGCAAGAGTCTCTCGTTAACATTCGGGAATAACTCTAATCGGATGCGCGTAAATTGACCGTGGAGTAATCACCCCTTTACCCTCTGGTACTGTGGGCTTCATGATCCTCGTATTTGTGTACTGCGTATCTCCCTGGGCAAGAGTCTCTCGTTAACATTCGGGAATAACTCTAATCGGATGCGCGTAAATTGACCGTGGAGTAATCACTCCTTTACCCTCTGGTACTGTGGGCTTCATGATCCTCGTACAGATCTAGCTGTGAATAGAATAACTGTCCATCGTATTAGCTGCATGTGTAGTGTTCCTTCATTGACTTCAATCTCAGGTATGGAGGATCTCATCCACGAGATCTACACTGTTGGACCTCACTTCAAGGAGGCCAACAACTTCCTCTGGCCCTTCAAGCTCTCTTCCCCTAAGGGTGGCTTCATCCGCAAGCGTCACGGCTTCAACGAGCTCCGCGGCGGTGACTGGGGCAATCGTGAGCAGTTCATGAACAATCTCATCAAGAGGATGAACTAAGCATCTAACCATTCGCGATCAGCTATGGTGTTTTCGTGGTCTGCTTATCGCGATGCCCCGTAGCTAGATGTGGAGGTTTCTACTGGAGGCTTCTCGAGTAGCCGCTTGGGACTTGCCTTGGTTTTGTGTTTTTGAAGCTCGGTCAATCATAGAGAGGAACCAATTCATATGAGGCCACGCTGCTGTTGGGATGAGCAGTTGTCTCGTTTATGGACTTTTCAACGTCACGTGCCTTCGAGTAGGTGTGTGTCTGGTAGGAGTTGGTTACTGGTTGAAGGCGGGAAGCTTGTACTTGTTCCGTGTCGTTTGAACTTGCTTCTGGGATCTAGTGCATACTATCAGCCAAAGGTAGTTAGCAGTGCTAACTTGACAATCAGATTGACCTGGTACATATTTGGGATTACGTTTTGGCTACTTCCCCACTACTAAGCATCGGTGTAATATTCCAGCTCGTGTGCTTTTTGCAACTTCACTTTGAATCATGATGTTCTGGGCCAACGTAAGCGAAACAGTTAGTATCAGTCGGCTGAGGTTGATGGGGTGCCTGGCACATGGTCAGGCATGGCATGCTTTTTGCAACATCTGTGACCCTCTGTAGGCTGCTTCTGTCGGGAAGCACAGGATTTGGCGGAATTGATAACGTCTGAAGCTGTGTTGGCTTGCTGGATGAGGCACCACACTCCCAAGCTTGAGATTTTAAGTTCGGTTCTTGTGTAGGATGAACATCGTCATATTTATTCCTGTGCATGGATTTATTTGATCATATTATATAATTGGAGTTTACGAAGTAGACGAGTTAGGTATCGAGGTGCGCTGAGGCGCACGGCTGAGGATTCGCCATTGTGTGTTGGACTCACGCACACGTTCACTGGAGCACATTCCCGAGTCGCGAGTCCCGATACGGGATGGACAGCGTGCTGCGAGTCAAATCGTCAGATTGTGGCAATGCTCTACCTCAGTTGCCGATAGGGGGCATCTTCGTTTAGCCATCTTTTTCTTCTCACTTCTCTCACCTACGGTCGGCTGTGCCGTGCAGGATGGTGCTGCCGCCTCCTAACCTCCATCATCACCTCCACGATCTTGCAGCACACTCGTAGGAGTATTTGGCCATTATTATAGTACCCTTCGGAGCCCCTACCTGCGGTCCCGGACAACTGCACTGCAGTCGCGCACGCTCCCAGTTGCAAGGTCAGTGGTGTAGTATACTGCCTGCGGCTTGCTGCACTACACCCGAACTTCAAGGGTAGCGTCGAGTACCAAACAGTGGCAAACTGATTCATATATCCACTGCTTACCAAGCAGTGCTTAATCAAAATATAATCTCATGATGGTTGAACATTCGCCGAATTTCGGCAGGAAAACTCCAAAAGGTGGAATGACGAACTATTAACCTCACCGGTTCGCGGCTCCGATTCCGCACAGTCCCTACAGTCTTGAGTATCAAACCTTACAAGGCGATCAAATAGTTGAATGAAAACATAAACAATAATCGCAGCTAATGATCATGTGATTCAGCGTAAATCGTCTATACTCGGCTATCTACAAACAGCAAATCCTCGAGAAAGTCGATCCGGGAAGTGTCTAACCCACCAGCTCACAGTCCCAATACAGGCAAACTTTCAACATTGTTGAGAAGTCCCACTACGAACAAGTTCTTTTCTGGTGGGAACCAAACAAACCCACACCGCGAGATGTTAAGCCTCATATACTCGCCTTGCCACGTATATGAGAACCCCACATATATGAGACGTATAGGAGTATCTTCATCCTCTACTTTATACCGTTGTTGAGCTACGATGGTGAGGAACACTGGAGTACGCATCTATGAGATGTGTACGTGATGCGATTCGAGAATTTGGTCGAGAAAAGCGGATACTAGCCGACCGGCATACACTATATTGTCACTGCTACCGTCTTACTCGGCACGTTCTGAGAAGTTTGACATATCAAATACTTTTTACCATAAGTTGGACGGAATAGATACTTAAGTTATACGACGACCGCCTTTCAAGGGGGAACTTTCCTCCGCTGCTTCTTCTGTACACTAAATTTTTCTACGGTTGGATACTTGACTAACATTCATTCAATGGCTCAGACATCTAAGGAAGTATTGTCATCACAAGCAGTCAGAGACCACTGCGAACGTTTGAGAAACGGACTTAGAAAACTTCATCGTCGCCACTCTCATCTACGATCATGTAACTCAGACATCTAAGGAAGAATTGTCATCACTAGTAGTCAGAGACCACTGCGAACGTTTGAGAAACGGACTTAGAGAGCTTCATCATAGAGACCGTCGTACAGAACATGCTTGCTCAGACATCTAAGGAAGTATTGTCATCACTAGTAGTCAGAGACCACTGCGAACGTTTGAGAAACGGACTTAGAAAGCTTCATCATAGCAAACAGTCATTACATACTCCCCCTAATTGACACTAAGGACCAGGAGCAGCACCGCAAGATCAGAGATCCCGAACCCAACGAGTCATCGACTCGAGGGCCACTCTAGCCAGTACAAACGCAACGCCTTTCGGCGGCCACAAGGTACTGGGGTGAGTGTTAATGCGCAAAAGAACCAACAATCAAGCCTGCCATTCGTCTTCTCGTCATCCTTCAACTCCAGCAAAATCGGGGACGGTTTATACCTTGAATCCACGAGACTTCCGGCGACCACGAGCCTTTTCGCGCTTGCGACCAATGGAGCGGACGCGGGGCCTAGTGTCGGAGTCGGGAACACCGGGGGCCTTGCCGAAGTAGCGCTCGCAAGTACGGGACTTGGTGGCACCACGGAGGAGAACGGTGTTAGAGCCAGTAGGAGCCTCTGAAAGTGAAGACAAATGCAAAAATGGAGGAACACGTTTCAATCAAACCACAAGGTATGAAACACGCTACATATTTCTCAGACTCGTTAAGGGTATCACCAGAATATAGGTCTGTTAACCGCATCAGATTGAGTATCATCATCGAAGTTCTAGCACATTCCACGAGATTTCAGCGAATCTTAAACGAGTCCCATATACTTACTGAGAGCCAACTGGTCGAAGGTCATGCAAGAGCCACCAGCCTTCACGATACGGGCACGAGCGGTCTCAGAGAAACGGAGAGCACAGACAGTGAGCTGGGGGACCTCGAAGAGACGGGCGTCGTCGGTGATAGTGCCAACAACAACGGCGATCTTGTCCTCCTTGCCCTTCATGTGGCGAGCCAACTTGGAGAGGGAGAGAGTAGGACGGTTCCTTCTAGAGGTCTGGAGACGCTTCAAGATAGTAGCATTGAAGCTAGACTCCGTACGACGAGCCAAGAAGGAATAGAGCTTGCAGAGCAGGCGGATGTAGGGGTTCTCAGTCTTGATGGTCTGACGACCGGGCTTCCTCACGCGCCCACCAGCCTTAAGATCGATACCCATGGCGAATGGATTTGTGCCTATACTTCGCGGATCGGCCCAGGCTATGGGTCATCGATCACGTGATCGATATCGCGGAGCGTGAGGGCGCAGCGACGCACTACAGCGCAAGATCCCTTCGACTCTCACTGGATCTTCACGTTCACATAGTTGATGGCCCCAGACCAGGTTCCAATGCACGATCCCGTTACTGCCCCAGCGGCGGTGCTCCTCGCCATACGGTCCCATGGAGAGGTTCTCAGATACCAAAAGTTCGGTCTCCGTAATGTCACATGGTCAACAATGTTGATTTATCGCGCAGGGGGTGAGATTCCTAGGCCTCCGATTCATTGCCTGATCAGTTGTGGTGCTCCCCGACACGATAACAATCCGAGGGACCGAGGGAGTGAACTCGTACCAATACACTTCGAGTGTCACTGCCGTCTGGGGCAGTCACT